GAAATTCTGGCACTCATTAGCTGATATGTCTTCAGCATGTTAAAGCTCAGCATAACTGTGTGCTCTGTGACTGCCAGGAAAATTTTTGGACAACCTGCACTAATGCTCCCTGTGCTGCTGATTCAGTCAAGCACAGGATCAGCAAAAAGGGCTTCTTTAATATTTTGGCTTCACTTGTCTGGAGATCAAACTTATTTTTTAATTTCTGAACGCCATTGCTCTTTATGTCCAGTCATTGTAATTGTCTACTACTTGGAACATCATAACTAAAAAAAAGGGACGTACTAGACAAAAACTGTTTTCAGATTTGGAGTCAGCAAGTGAAATTAAAGTACAGGTGAAAGAAATAGATTTAGAGTTTTAACAGGAATAGGGACGACATTAAAAATAAAACTGTCTTGTCTGTTTTCATTTTAAAGCGAAAACATCAGATCAGAAATTATCTCCGTCCTCACATTTAACGCAGGATTTCTGAATAATGGAAAATGTTTCAGCTGGCATTGTGCGTGAACATTAGAGGATGTCAGGGTGCAGTGTGAAGGTTTGGCAGAATAATGCAGGTCTCACCTTTCCAACGCGCTCCTATTGAGTCCGATCATTCACACCATTCATGCTGGAAGCTGTGGACAAATAAAACACATTTGTGATTTCAACAAATGGGGCTTCGCCAACATTGAATGTACGAGCTGGATGTTCCTCAAAATATTTTTTGATGTGTTGTGACCAAATTATAGGTACTTTAAATGTTTTCTGTGGACTCTCGCATTAAAAGCCATTATGTACTGCTTCACAAACAACTCACATGAATTCAACAAGGTCAAGGCAAACGTATCTTCTACAGCAGTGCTACAAAATATGCATCTCTAAATATCTCCATTTACTAACATGGTATAATGTTTAAAATGTTACATTTATGTTTTAAATAAATGGACTTTAAAGGCTTTAAGATACAGCAGTTTCTTACAGATGCCTTATTGAGATCGCTGGTTTAAATGCTACAACAAAATGTGGCTCCAAAATGCTCAAAGTGGTCCAAGATGCTCATCTTTTTGAGGCTGAAATTTTAAGTCAGTTGTTACCAATCAGTTCAATCATATTGCTGAATGTTCAAATTATTCCCTACTGCAAAGAGCCAATATATTGAGTGATAAAACTAAACTTTTTTCAGATGTAACATAGCTGTAAATAACTGTAAACAAAAGATGGACAAAGCCAACGTGACATCACCCAGTGGATGGTGAAGTCAGGATTGGAAGTTTTAATTTATTTCAGCATGAGTTTTTTGTTTTGTTAAGAGGGTGGAGCGAGGAAGATCACGGGAAAAATATGGATGGAATAATAATAAAAATGTTGTGTAGTCCCATTTAAAGAGGGAGATCTGCATCAGATCGAGATCAAGAGAAATTCTTGCAAATTAGTGCTAGAAATGCAAAATTAGCACAAATAAGCACAGTGAGCCATATTCTTTTTTAGACAACAGAAAACTGCATTACACTGACAGCCAAGCAGGAAGCTACCTGCTCACGATCAAAGGGAACGCACCTTTGAGCCTTAGAAGAATTTATATTAAAAATAAATCACCATTTATTTTCATCATAATTCTGATAGAAAATTTGGCATTTTCATAGACATCATAAAAATTGATCTAACACACTGTCTGTATTTTTGAATCTTTAATATTTTGTGTTTTTACCTCTGTGATATGAATAAAAAAGGCTGAGTCGTAATTTATCAGCTAACACAAGTGAGCTAGGGCAACAAGATGAGTTTATAAACTGTACAGGTGCAATACACAATCCCACATACCAGCTAATCAAGGTTAAGCAACAGTCTAAAAAAAGCCAAACCCTATAATTGTACTCACCAAACATAAACATCTTGGGTGGTCTGCACCTTGCAGCCATGATATTAGTCAGAAAATCTGTAAAAAATACTCCAAAAGTCTTCAACAGCACAAACACAGCAAAGAGAGCCAACTTAATGAAGATAGCCATTCATCTCAGAGTTCATATGAAGAGGGAAAATATCCAAGACCAAATCTGTTTTTCCAAATCTGTAAATGCTGTTTAATGCTGTAAACGTAGACATTATACCATGGCAGTCTGAGGATTCACTTGCTTTGGAATCAGTGCCCTTAAGAGGAATTCAGTTTCTGCCACTTCTGAGTTTGCTTCACTTTTAGGATTTTTTTTAAATTTTTTAAATTATTATTTTATTTTTTAGAAAATAAGTAGTTCCCAGTCTGCTGCACGTGGTTGTGGCATTCATTCTAAAATGAACTGCTAAGCCCCGTTTACATAGGCCCAGTGATTGGCCTGTGATCCCATTGTGACCAATTTCAGTGGTTACCAAGTAGCATACAGTGCTACTATGACTGTTGAGAAACTGTGACAAATGTAGCACAAACAGGAAACAGACTGTTCACCTTCAAAGTAAAAGTTGTTCTTTTAGTGGTAAAACAGCTTTTACCTAGAAGGCAACTGGATCTTGTTTGTGTCAAGCATCGTTGCTGTTTGGGGCTATTTGAGTGCTTGCAGACAAGTCAGCATCTTCCATGCAACTGTGGCAACTCTAGCAACCAAAGCAATCACAATGAGGTTTTTGTTGCAGGGCACTGTTTGCCAAAGATTTTACTAAAGGGAAACCAAAAACCTTGAGCAGTTACTCTCGTACCAGTTGTGGAATACGTCCAGAGGATTGCTAAGTTGGTTCCCAATCAGCCTAACATGCCCAAAAAAACATCAATCGCATATAGTTCATTCAAACCGGCCATGCCACCTGCATATGTCACCAGTTTGCTTGATAATATTTATTTGAGAAGGCAAACAATTATCTTTTACCTTTCAGTTAAATCTCAGCATACATACACACACATACACATAACTAGGATATTGCTGAAGCTAAACAACATACATGCTTTAACATGTATTTCTAATATTACAACCTCTGTAGGTGTCTTTCAGCGTGCTACAGTCTGATACACCACGCTTGAAAATTAAACGGCACTCTTCAGCCCACCTGCATCCGATTACACTCAAAGAGCCTGATCAGTCTTGACTGCAGTGTCTCATCAGTGCTTCTGTAATGTAAAGGTTTCTGCTGGGAACTTCCTGCTGCATGGATGGTGCCAAGGCGAATTAAACACTTTACAGAAAGGAATTGCACTTTTTGTCAAAAACTTAGAAAGAGAGAGAGGGAGAGACTGGTTGATTAAAATTTATGGCATGTAGAGAGTTTAAAAGCTTTGGGGTATCATTGGGATGATAGTTTTAGTGGCTAAATGGCTTTGGGTCATTCATTTCATGTGTAAATTTGGATAAAGCCAAAGTCGACACATTCTTCAAATGCAAGTGTGCTTCTCATTATGATATATTGCCGCTGCTGTTATTGCCGTTGTCTAATGGGATTTGTGCCAATAAAGCCTTGCTAGATGTTTTAGCTGTCACAGATATTCAAATGTAAACAACAGCATGAAGATTATTTGTTGCTCCTGTTTTCCTAATTCTTTTGTTCCTTGTAATATATGGTTTCAGGGTTTTAAATCTTCTTTTCCTCATTCTTTGTGAAATTCCTCTGGAAGTGCAGTGTATATATTTTCCATTTCAAAGAAATCCTGTTAGTACACTTACTGTCGGTGAGCAGAGAAGAACACTGATTACTTCATTCCACTTTGTAAAAGTTTATTTTTTTCTTGTTTCTCTGTTTCAAAGACTTTAAAACCACATTTTCTCTCCACGGAAAATGTGTGAATTCAATCAAATGTTCCTCAGAGTCTTCAGTTATTTAAATAACAAGCTTTTTATCTTCAAGGCTTTAAAATGTTATATACTGAATCCTGTAATTGTCCTTAATGATTACAGTGGACATGTCAAATCTTTGTCCCCAAGTCATCAGAGTCTTAAAGGATGACACCTTGAAAGTGTAGTGGAAACTTTGGGGCTTTCTTTTCATGGCATTAATCATAAATGAGCCAGCTGCAAGTGCAGTTTTGGCCCCTTTTCTGCTATTTGCTGGATGATCAGACATTATAGGCTTTGCAGCCACGAGTGAGAAGATGGTTGCCTGCCCATGATCTTTGTGTGTGTGTGTGTTGGCATGTTGGCAGCCGTTTACCTCATCAATACAGGAGCGGACTTTTGTTCCATTTGACTCACGCCATCATTGTCTTGTATTAACACCTTCAGGAGATCCAGAACACTGCAGCAAAAATACTAACTGGAACTGGAAAGGGGAACCATATGTTTCCCATATTAGCTTTTCTTCTTTTGCTCCCTGTTAAAGTCAGAATTGAATTTTGCTTACAAACATGTTTTTCCTCACATCTCGAATAATCCTACCACGTCATATCTTAATGAACTCATTTGCTCTTTACTCTTTCCCCTTCCCCAAATGCCTCCCTGAGCCTGGTTTTGTAGGACATTTTTGTTCAAATCGAGTTTTTCCTTCCTACCATCACCAAGTGCTTATTTATAGGGGTCTGTGTGGTTGTTTGAGTTTCTTTCTAATATTTTACCTTACAATATAAACCACCTTAAGGCGACCAATTAAAATCTAATTGAACTATGGAGCTCCTGAATTTTGATAGAAATGGAAATACAGTTCAATCTCAACTATTATTTTTAACTTACAGTCATATGTTTGAGTACAAGCTTTTGATGAATGAGGGGTTCGGGACGATAAGCCGTATTTTATTCTGAATCTTTCCCTCATTTGATTTTTTAAGTCTGTGTAGAAAAATAACAAAAACTGTAAACAATAACTGACTTTTGCTACTTTTAGAAATGGTAGTTTTAGAAAGGGGTGCTGCATATATTATTATGTGGTTATTCGTGGTTCCCAAGTAAAAATCAGAAATTGATCAGCAGACTTCATCCTCTGTGGACAGTACTAGTCCAAAATGTAAAAACACTGACGTATTCATTCACACACATCAACCTGGAATGTAAAAAAAAATAATTTTGCTTTCATATTTTAATGATGAATTTTATTCACCTCTTTAGGTTTTTTGTCAACTTCCCATCGGCCAAACAGTATTTTAGCCAGTTTCAGCACCTGGAGGATCCTGAGGAGATGGCACGGAGCAGCCAACTCCGGCAGCATGCCTGCAGGGTGATGAATGCCATCAACAGTGTGGTGGAAAACCTCCACGACCCTGAGAAGGTGTCGTCGGTGCTGGCCCTGGTGGGAAAAGCCCACGCTATCAAACACAAAGTGGAACCCGTGTACTTTAAGGTAACTTTCGAAAATGACCCGTTTTTTGGGCTTTTTTTTTTCAGACTTTGTTTTAAACACTTTTAAACATGTTGTCTGCGAAACAAAGCACGGCAAAAGATTATTGTCAGGGGTTCTCTATCCTGAATAACTAGCAGTTTAATAAAGGTATTTTCTTGCTTCAGCAGCCCCTTCAATTATCAAAGCAGCCCAAAGAATTGTCTCATTACCAGTCTAATATCATGGGGGATATTTCACTTTTGCCACTTTACTCAGGACAGAATTCCTGTTTTACTTGTTTTTCTGTTTTATTTCTCAAATGTAGCTGCAGTGTTTTGCTTTGTGTGTGTTTTTAATAGAAATACTTCAAGCTTTTGTGAAGCTGGAGGCTTCAATCTTTACTTAGACACATGCAAACAAATTATGGAAGAATTTTATGGAGCATCAAGTTTATCTTGTAATCGTTGTTCTGTATAATGTAAAAACATGCATGGGCATAAAAACCAATAATAACAAATGCATTAATTTAGTCCCAGATCTTTAACCCTGTGTTGAGTTTTATTTTTGGATTTATGATTTGTTCTTTTGGATTTAAGGAATATTTATGTTCTAGCTCTATATTTGCCTTGAGTTTAGTATTTCTTAGAGCCTTGTAGTTATTTATATTTCTAGTTCTTGCTTCTTGTTTTATTACTTCATGTAGTAAACCGCTTGTCTGTTCCATAAAATTGCCGTTACTGGAGTTGTTGGAGCTCTGTGCGCAGTAGCGTGAATGACAGAGACATTCAGACGTGTAACCTGTATAGAGCAGCTTGTCTTGCGCTTAACAAGAATAAGCTGCATAAAAGTCTTTGGTACAACATTAGTTACATTTTTAGATGTCTGTAAATTCTCTCTCTTTCTATAGTTATGCTACATGCTTCCATGTGCTCAATTTAGCTCAGTCGCAGCTGACCACGCCTCGAGAGGTCTTTGCGCAGCAGACATTCTGTCACAACAAATTTTTACTGGAACCTGAGATCCTACCATAATCATTGAGACGCTAGAAGACTTATCAACAGATGCATCGATAAATGCACTTAGATGCTTCATTAGCCTGAGAGGAGCTGTTTGCCAACTCACTGTAACCAGGGCACAAACTTCGAAGGAGCTAAAAATGAATTCAGAGAAGCTCTCAAGTAATGTGACATACAGGCACTGGAAGCTTTCCTGGTAGACAGATAGTGGGAGTTCATTTTCAATGCTCCTTCTGCAAGTCATGCAGGTGGCGTCTGGGAACGCCACATTTGGACCATTCATAACATGCTGAACGCCACTACTGCTCAGTGTGCAGGAGGATGATGGCTCTCTTTGAACTCTGTTTTGTGAAGCCAAGTCTATTGTAAATAGTCACCTCTTGACTGTTGATGGTATCAGTTACCCAAAGGCAACTGAACCTCTCAATCCAAACCATCTTATAATAATGAAATCCAAAGCTGCCCTAACACCACCTGGGAAATTTGTGAAAGAAGCAGTTTGTTGCCTTTCGTGTTCATTCTGTCCTAGTCTCATCTCTGTGTCTTATCATCAGTTGTATCTCCATATTTTGTTACCCTTTCTGTCTCCTTTTGTGTCCCGTTCCATTGTTTGTTCTGCCAAGCTTGTACGTCTTAGTCCTGGTCTCAGCATATGTTACTTCCTGTTTTATTTTGATAGTCCCTTGCTCATGTGCTTCCTCTTTTTGCTTTGTTTTGCCACATTCTGTTCAGCTGTGCTCCCAGGTGTCTCCACTCTGCCCTAATCTCCTCTTGTGTACATATTATCTGTGTGTCCTTCTTTTCTCTCATGGTGTGTGTGCCTCTGTCCATCTGTTTAGCCTCAAGCTTGTTCCTTTTCAACCCTGTGTTGCTTTTGCTAGCATAGATAAAGCTGTGATTTTAAGTTTGCTTCCATCTGTTGAGTCCTGCACTCTGGGTCCACTCTCTGCCTGCCAGACATTCTGATCATGATGTTTACATTACTAATCCTAACCCTAACACAGACGCAGGAACACAGACGCAGGAAGACTGATCTTAAAGCAAGCTGTTTGAAATAATTCAAAAGGTAAAACACAAGTCCAAAAAGAGAACCTGGAAAAATACAGAAACAAAAGCTTGAAAACACATGGAGAAGGATCCAACAGTGCCTGGATCGGGGAAGGATTGGGGAAGTGGAGAGAGATGAGGAAAATGAAACAGTTGAACTAGATCACAGACGAGACACAAGACGAGACAAGGGAAGCACGCTGGAAGCAAAGCACAAGGAACACTAATTCACAAGATAAAACAGGAAGTGGGAAAATGCATACAGGGATTTACTACAGGAGACTTGACACAAGAGGATAGAGCACTGTGGGAAGAATTAAACTCCCACTATTAAACTGAGGCAATTAAGGGGGAAATACATGAAGCTATCTATACACTAAGAAAACAAAGAATCGTGGAATATTGAGCATTCCCTAATCTTTTAACAATAGTCCATAAACATCTGACAAATGAGAAGACCAACGGCTGGACTTTTGGGAGAGGGATGTCCTATCCTCATCTGATATAAGATTCAGTCCTTTATTTAGCAGGGGAACAATCCTTCTGAAAATCTACACCCTGGAGTTTTTCAGAAAATTAGTTTTCAGTGATTTATATGTGGACGAACAGTCCAAATTCCTGAAAAAAGACACGTATATATGCGGAGAGCTGTGACACTAATAAGTCCTGTTAAGATCAAATCTCCTTTACAAGTGAGAGAAATGCCAGGTGGCAGCTTTTTGGTCCCATAACATATCAACCACTGCAACAAAAAAAGTGAAACAAATACATTATATAGAAAAACCCACAACAGTAAAATAACAGCGGCCACTTAAGAAACAACTACATGCCGCAGGAGTTAATGTCTCTCTCACACTATCCCAAATATCCTCCTCTGTCACACCAACTCTCTGCATTGCCTCCTTCACTACATCTATGAATCTCCTCTGAATCTTTTCCTCCCGACTAGCAGCTCAATATTCAACATCCTTTCTCCAATATTTCCACTGTCCACATTACCATCATGTGAACCTTCTCTCTTGCTATCTTTTTAAATTAAAAAAAGTTTTATGCACAATTTAAAAAAACAAACAAACAACCAAACCCCCCCCCCCCCAAAAAACCCAGCAACAACATCAGTCTTTACTTTGCCTATAGCTTTCTGTAAAAACTTATATGTGTAAGGTGCTTCACAAGTAAATACAGTTTTCCACAAACCTGGAGCACATTAAAAAGTTAGCTTTTAGAGAAGCGTAGACAGAATCAGAACCAATTAAAAATGTCTTAAACTCATTTTTGTATACAGCTCATGTTTTTACATAACACTTGTGTTACATTCAGTGTTCCTCCTGCTCCATCTGACGGGGGAAGTAGATTATTTCTCTTCAAGTCTTCTGAATGTTGTGTTGGTTCATAAACGCAACAGTAACGAGAGAAAACTCTACCACCAATTAGACCTGCATTGATCACTCTGTGAATAGGTCATTAAAAAAATTAGTCCCACTGTATATTCCTTGAATTTTCAACCTCACGTGTTCAACGCCCGACTTTTTATTTTATTTTTTTTTTAGGCCAGTCATACATTTCATACTTCCTGTTTTTTTTCATAATGTGTCACATTATGGCCTGAAGTTTTTTTTGTGTGTTTTTTTTTTTAAGGTTGGCTTAATAGCTGAGACAAAACTGAAACTGACAGCCAGGTGGTAAAACTGAAGGTGCTGCACATATAAGTGAGAAAAAACTAAGAAGCTCTGTACAAGGAACAGTGGGGAGATATGGGAACAAGAAACAAGCAACAACGACTGAAGGAGAACATCCAGATGTTTGTCCAAGCGAATTGGGTACCAAACAAACACAATGACCTGATAATCACCTCTGAGGACTGTATACTGCAACATTTATGTTTGAGAAATATAAAACAAAACCGCAGTGACTCAAGGAAGCACCAAGTTGCTTCCTGAATGTCCAAACGCTCCGTACAGACATCGATACAACCAGAAGTCCTTAGATCTAATAACTGGATGAAATACGAGAGCCCACACTGTTCACTGATCACATTCTTCATGCCAGCCACTGGGCAGGATACAGAAATAAATCCTACCAGATCATCATCAACTACCTTTATTCATTTAGTTTAATAAGATAAAGGGTTTGTGGCATAGTGGTGCCGCAGTTAACACTGTTGCCTCACAGCAAGACGGTCCTGGGTTTGAGTCCACTAGCAAGCTGGAGACACCCCAGTGTGGAGCTTGATGCTCTCCCTGTGCCTCCCACAGTCCAAAGACTTACACGTTGGGTTATTTGGTAATTCTTAACTCCAACTGTCGTCACATTTGAGTGACAGTTAGCCTCACCTTCAAGTTGATTAGATAATTTCTAATCTGTGGTCTTACGAATGGGAAGATTAGGTCTTTTACTCTATACAATATATTCTCTCACCCAAGTAAACTGAAGGCCATACGTTCATGTAAAGGATTTTTTTAGAAAGAGGGAGACAAAGTGGATATCCTCTACTGCCATTGAAGATTGTTTAGAAGAAAACAAAGCCTCATATGCTTTGACAGTTTAGCAATAATCCCCCCCCCCACCAACCAACCAAAAAAACCCCAAACCAACCAACCAAACAAAGAAAAACCCCAACACAAAACAAACAAAGATACATTTATGTCCTAAAAGCTTCAACCTCTCCAGCACGTTCCCAGCATGTTTTGTGCTTCCTCCTATGGAGACGTCATGTGTTCAGCTCCATATAGGATGTAGTCTTGGACTCTACTGGAACAGCTTTTACATAAATCACATTAATAATAATTAATTATTTTTACCTGTTCATAACAAACCTTAAACACACTATTTTAGTCCACGTTTTATGAGAAGCTAAGCCTTGCTTCAGCCTCTGTTCTAAAACGAGCTGTTGTAGCTCCTTGCAAACAGAAGGCTTGAATAGATGGTAGGCGGGGCTTCTGTGCTCAGAGCCGGAGCTATGTGTCTGAGGTGACCATGTTCGGCATATCCCCTCTTTGTTGCAAATCTGTAACAAATTACTTTATGTCTCCAGGTAAAACCACACAAAGAGGGCTATAGTTTTGATTTTGCCAGCACGGTAACTTTCATCCATATCACATTCATGCAGCTGCTCAGCCGATAGAAATCCTTTTGTTTGGTGTCACGTAACATGTCAAATATGACTCAAAGCTTTGATAGAACCCCCCCCCCCTCATAACCTCGTGTTGAGAAGCTTTTGTTAAATCAGCATCAGCAGTTTGGTTTTATTGCCCCAGTTCTGCCCAGGTCAGCTGACTTTATGGCGGGCTGCCACACTTACACTGAGCTTTCTCTCTCTGTGCTTTTGCTTTAGCCACCTCTGCTGCTCTTTCTCTCGACTTTGTCATTTCTGTTCCTTTGTTTCGCCTGTCCACCCACTGCTTTCATGTTTTACAGTTATCATTTTCAATTCTCACCTGTCTCGCCCACTTCTCTGTAACGCTGAAATGAATTCCTATTTCTCCATCACGCTGTTCCCGCTTTACCCACAGAACACAATTTTTCTGCATTACTCGCACCCTTATTATCTCAATAGCCACATTTCCCCTCGCTCTCCGTCTCTCTGTGGCTCGCTTAATGAAATTTGTTTGTCACCTCTTCCTCTCAGATCCTGAGCAGTGTGATGCTGGAGGTGTTTTCTGAAGATTTCCCAGAATTCTTCACGGCAGAGGTGCAGATGGTGTGGACCAAACTGATGGGGGCGGTGTACTGGCATGTGACGGGGGCCTACACAGAGGTGGGCTGGCTCCAGGTCTCCAGCTCGGCAGTGTGAAGAGTCGGGAAGAAGAGGTGGTAAAGAAGTTTTCAGTGGACTCAATGAAGTTTAAAGAGAGGCAAAATAATGTGTTTAAAATGTTGATGGAGATTTTGCGACGATGGTTTCACAGACATGGATCAGATTAACATGGTAATCCGTGCAATTTTGTTTCTTTATTCAACTTCTTTTGGATGCATTTTGGTGCTAAGCTTTGCACGTCTCGGAGATCAGATCAGTTGGACACCAAGTAATGTAGCCAAACATTTTTATTTAACTGCTGTTAGATTTCCACTTACATCAGTGGCGCTCTGCTGTGTTATCACTGCTAAGGCTAACTATCAGTTCGACATCCGCACACACTGCTGTTGCTGCCAGAGGCACACAACCAGTCACTTTCTGTGTAGCATAAAATCTTCCTTTTTATACACCTGCTGAGATAAGACTGCTTCAAAAGTGTTAATGAACTTCTAAAATCAATTAAAAGGTGACCAATCCTTCTGTTTGTAAGCCTGTCAAGCTTTGCATTCTTGCAAAGGGCTCAAAATTGTAGCAGTGGCAGATGCACTTTATTTAGAGACAGATGAGGATAAAAGCAGAATTTGCTAATCGACATTAGCTGTGCAAGTTAATATATTTCTAGAGTTGTAAATATGAAGTGCAACTGCAGCCTGCAAGACCATTATGGCTTTTGCCATAATGGTCCACTTGATGGTCATATTTTATTTTTATTTTTTATTTTTCCTTGTATGATGGTATCTTATGGAGTCTTTAATACCTGTCAAAACACAGCATTTTTTTCCCAGACAAAAATTACTGAAAAAGATCACTTTTTGTCAGCTAACAATAACTAGAGATGGGCCGATGGGGACGTTGTTTCCATGTAAAACAGAGATCCAGCTAAATGGACAAATTAAATGCATGTGTCCTTGTTCCTTTTAAAACAAAGATAATTGACTGACAGCTAATCGATTTACTACAAAACTGTTAATGGTCATTTATAGTTCTTCTCCATTTATGCAAACTACTGATGATTGTTTTTAAAATAAATAAAACAATTTCAGACATTTATCTTTTCAAAATCCCTGCATCTTAAAACAGTTTAGAGTACAACAACAACGAATGAGAGAATTTTAGCTTATTCTTACATTTTTCATATTAAACAGTAAAAGGTGAAATTTAATTGTATTATATTTGATTATATCACCTATGTTTGAATAGGTTTTGAATACATATGCTTGTTCTAATGATCTAATCGGTTGCTGAACGTGGATCTATTGCTAGAAAAGTAGGTCCAGGGTCGAGAATGTTTGCTTGGTATGTTCCCGCAGTCTTTGTCCCCCAGACGTTTATGGTACATAATAGGAACCTCTTGGAACTTGTTACAGGGGTTAGCCTTAGGAGGAACTCTCTCAAAGCTAAATAAAATGGGATTGTGTGACTGCACAGCTAATTTGAAGCCTTGCTTGAATGAAAAATAGACATCCATGAAAACTGTCATTTAAAATGTGTCAAATTCTACCCAAACGCAGCAAAAGGTCTAATGTGTTTTATCAGAATACTGTAGAAAAAAATCCCACCCCACCACATCCAGAAACACAAAGCTTGACAGGCACGCTCTTACGAACATGTATTTTATCCATCTGGAGCAAGAAAAGACGTTTATTTCTGAAAATAAATGCGGATTATACTTAACAGAGTTCATTTCTGTGGAAACCTGCAGTTTCAAGGTGACGCACATGAATACACTTCACAATACTTTGAAAGATGGAAGAAATGCTTAGACACAGAATGACTTTTAGCTATTAGAGGGGGCAGTTAGTTGTTGAAGCCCCGGCTACGGGACCATGGAGCTGCTGACTGTTAATAGATCCTCTTTGTGTCCTGCTTCAGTATATCCTCATGTTCAGGGGACGTGCGGCCCCTTTTCTCTCTATTTAATGTCTTGTTTAACTTTACTGAGGTGTTGTTTGTATAAGCGTACAGTGAGTAAATGTGCACACTCTTCTACCTTCGTATACAACTCAAGGACACGACCTGTGGATGCGTAAAAGAGGGCTGGCTTTGCTTCCCCCCCCTCATTTCATCTCATTGCACACACACACACTAACAATGTGAAAGTGAGATGGAAAATATCAGCAGGTGCACGCTTACACTTTCACGCACAGGCATGCCGTAAGATGTCTCTCATGTGAATATTTACAGGACGGTCGCTTAGTTTACATCTTTAAAACCCGATCAGAGAGTCATGCTGCTTTGAAGTCTCCATTAAGGGCTTTAGAAACCCACTCTGGAGGTCTGTGGAAAACACATCTGTTTCAGAAGTGCCATCAGTCGGTTTCTTTAGATCTCTGACCAGTCGAAAGCAAAAAAAAAAATCCAAGTATTACAGAATGTGGCCTGTGCTGCCTTCTCGTTACCTTACCTGACCTCACCTTCTTTGAAGTTTATGTGCTCCTGCTGGCAGTCCCCATCTTCTCAAACACACACAGCAAATCTGTTTAGGGTGGACACTTGATCCAATCTGCAGTTTGCGTCTGCTGCAGTGATGTTTTGTTTCTCCCATCTGTCCCCCGTCGGCATCAGCATCTGGCATTAATGAGGAGGTAATGAGTCTTCTCTCCTCCTCATTTGGCCATTCATCTACTGTAACTTCCCATTGCCTCTGCTCGGAGCGCGTCACTGAGAAGGAAAACAATTACGAGTGGACAGTTGGCATTAAACCCACCGCGGTCATTCACAACAGTGCTATATACGTGCATACACGTCTTTCATTGACTGAAAGAAGATTCAGATTCTCGATTACAAACACACAACACAAAGGAAAAAAACTGGGATGCTGTGAAAAATGTAAATAAATACAGAAATGCAATGAGTTGAAATTTCATTAACTCTTATTTTATTTATAATAGAACATACAAAACAAATCAAATCATTAAAATGAGAAAATGTACAATTTTTAAGAAACTCATTTTGAATTGATGGCAGCAAAACATCTCAAAAGTTGGGACAAGTCAGTGATAACCGCTCTGTAGCATCCTTTTTCTTTTAACAACAGTCTGTAAACATCTGGGAACAGAGGAGAACAGCTGCTGGACTTTTGTGCCATTTTGTCTGATTGAGGATTTTAGCTGCTTAAAGGTTCCGTGTCTTCTTTTGTTGTGTTTTTCATTTTGTTGAAAGGTCGGGACTGCAGGCGGGTCAGTTCACATCTTGAATGATTTGAGTAGAGAACAGTTTCTACTTTGACTCAGTCCATTTTAAAAGAGCTTTGGCTCAGAGAAGGAGGCACTGTGTCTGGATCGTGTTCACATGTGGCTTCTTCTTGGCTTGAGAGAGCTTTTAGTGGCTGTCATTGTGATCCGTGTTCAGACGATGTTTTCTGGAAGCCCGTGCAGTGATTTCCATGACAGAATCATGCCTGTTTATGTTGACCAGCATTATTCTGGGTTATTCCATTTGTAGATGGTTTTTTTGCATGTCAGTGACTCTGTTCCAACTTTTTTTAAGACGTGTTGCTGCCATCGAACTAAAAATGAGAGGTTTTTCCTGAAATCCTAAAATGTCTCTGCTTGATCATTTCTACAAATAAAATATGGGTTTGAGATTTGCACATTCTTGCATTCTGTTTTGTTTATATGTTATACAGCGTCCCAGCGTTTTTGGTAAAAGCGTTCTCTAAAGTTCTAAGTGTTTTGTTTTTGTCTTGCACCGGTGGGTTTAAATATTATTCTGTCATGATATCCTTTACAAAAACAGCCCCCTGATGTGTGATTGAATTTTTACCAAAGAGCCCAAGTGAAGAAAACACGCAGTGCTTGTTTTTAGCTCATCTGACTGAAAGACTGATGCCTTGGTGAAGCTCGGTCATCAGGTGTCGTAGGCCTACAGTGCTGGTCTGATTTTAGTGAAGCTTGCACACTTATCACTTCACCCAAACGATGCTCAAGGTTAATGTTAAATGTGTTCTTTTATGGGCCCTTTATCGCTTTCACTTTACAAACTTTAACATATTTACAACTCACTCGCACCTGATGTACAGAACAGCATTCGATTCAGTCCATTTAGCAAAATCATTGACATAAAAGGATAAAACATTGCATGCGCTACAAAATAAATAATAATAATAACTTTGTGAAATATCAAAGGATGCGATGACTTCAAATATTACTTTTGCACACATGTTGCATACTACTTGGTCATGATGGAGGGCGTGGTCACGATGGGGTGAGGGGGCGTGGTAGCGGAGGGCGAGGTCATATTGGTTGAAATTCTTTTGTTAAAGTTAAATGAAGAATAATAATAATATATACTAGCACATGCCTCTCTCACAGACAGAGCTGAATCAATGTAGGATTCAAAACTAACCTTTATTCAGGTTGAGGACAAAGGAATACAAAATCCTTCAAAGAGACAAACAACAGAAACTCCAGGCACGCGTGAAGGCAGAATACAAGGGAGTATTAACAACCACTTTGAGCTCTAAGAGAAGGAAGATCGGGCAATTTATACACACAGGAGGCCAATCAGGAGGCAAACAGAGGTGCAAACAATCAGGAGAAAAGCACAGGCAGGAAGCAAAACTGATGTAAGAAAGCTAGACTTCAAAATAAAACGGTAAACAAATGAGACGACACTTGAAGCAGACCAAGAGCAGCTATTAACAAAAGCTGGGACACAGAAATGAACACATAAGGGAACCACAAAACTAAACATTGCATTAAAAAAAAAAAAACAAAAAAAAAAACAGTGTGATAAAAGTCCTTATGTGGTCATCTCCCAATACTCGCACACCAGACGTTGATAAAAAAAGCAATTTACTTTTTCTTTTGCTCTGTTTTTGAACAGAGCATCTTTTTGTTATCGATTTATTTAGACAGACGAGGCGGTCTTCACGGGGAGGTATGGTAAATATCTCCAAGGATCTCCTTTGAAATGTCCCACATGCACACAGGAGCAGAGAACAAACTTCTTTATCTCACAAATACCTAGTTTACATCCCAAGGTATTACATTCACATAGCGGCTCAGTTTCACTGATTAGCCCGCCATAAGAAAATGTCACTTTGTGATCTTTAGATAATGAAATGAAAACACTACTTGCTGCTTTAACGACTCTCGACTCCTGCAAATGTTTACTGAAAGCTCCCCTTCCAAGCTGAGCTGTGAGCTAATCTCTCACAGCAATGAGTCAGACAGGTGGATAAAAATACACGCAGGAGTCAAACAAACGTCAAGAAAACTGTTTCCACTTGGGCTCAAATCGCTTAGGAGGCAGTAAAACTGCTGCTGGTCTTGAATGATCTGGTTTAAAAATGCACTGCGGTCCTTTTCAAAGCTGCAGGCTCTCTGCATCTCGCCATCTGTGTGCAGCACGAACCTCACCACAATATAAACACACAGCATTATGTGTAGACACATCCTAGTTAAACATATCGCTGCATTGCTTTCCATACGCACACGGTTGGGCATGTTCTCACATGCAAAGTTTACTACTGCAACATAATTCACTTATTTTAATCTAAAAATGTAAATTTTTTGGCTCATTCAATCCATATCATATGTTCATGTTCATTCCCTTTCAGCTAATAAGGGCATCACAGCACATGTGGACTTGTGCGTTTTTGTTGTGAAATGTTCCTGTCTATGAGTTGGAAAGTTAGGACTTTATATTTTTCTAAATATATCTCTGAGGAGGGTTCTGTGTATTTCAGTACTGTATATGCATATGTAACTGTACACTGTTGCTGGGAGCGAATTCAGTGGCTTTGTAGTGTTTTTGAGCATGTTTGCACAGACTTGTACCTTCGCAGACCTGGTGAAAATCAATCATGACCATCAATAAACTCTACTTGTAAATTTGTCTGTCTTTGTGTTTTTTAAAGATTACTGTGTACACACTGATGATTCGGATCAAAATGGAAACCAAGCCTCTGGTTTTACCTTTTTTTAACTACAAACAACCAAGAGGTTCAAGATGTGCCAGGCCGAAGTGAAACTGAAATGGTGAAATGATCAGTTTCCTGCATGTTACATAATCATGCCTGTTCAGGTAATTGATTGTTCCCTGCGTCTGCGCGACACAACATTACATCCAGGTTACATCACCTGTGTGCAGTACAGTGCAGTACATGAGTGCTTCATATACAGTGTTGGGAAGGTTACTTTTAAAATGTATTCCACTACAGATTACAGAATACATGCCCCAAAATGTATTCTGTAACGTATTCCGTTACGTTACTCAATGAGAGTAACGTATTCTGAATACTTTGATTACTTAATATATTATCATGCTGTTTACAACTACATGAATGTGATTTATTACTATTACTGAAGGTCCGCGGCTCTGAACCATAGTAAAGGGACCTCTGGCTAATACCTCGGGTTCCTACGTAGCTTTACTTTGTTGTCTGCGTCAAGTTTGCTAGCGAGAGACAGAGAGAGGCGTTGAAAGGCTGCTCCAACGGAACTTATTGTTTCGGAGGAAAACACGAACACGGTGTACAGTCGAGTCTTAATAGCTTACTTACAACTGGGCTCGTCAGGCACTCTTCTTGGCTGCAGTGGTTATTATTATATTTACATGCTTCCAGCTCCCGTTTCTGCTCGATGACAGCTCGTAGTTTTCCACTCTCTTTTTTCTCCCTCCTCGCGCTCACAGACACATAACGGGTATGGCAGTCCATTCTCCCAGCAGCACGGACTACACTGCCCATGAGGCTACATTCTTTAGGGCTATGCCTGTAGCATTCTCCCTATTAACTTAGCACAACAACAAAAAGGCGCTCTGTCACCCAGGAAACACAGTCGCAGAGAGAGCACGTCACCCTGTAACCATGGCAGCTGCCGCCAGGAGCAACAGAACATAGCTATCAAACAAAACCCAAACAATCCTGACCCGTGACAATATGAAACAGGAAAATACCGCAGTGTAATCCATTTATTTCAACAATGTAACTGTATTCTAAACACCACCTTTTTAAACGGTAACTGTAACGGAATACAGTTACTCATATTTTGTATTTTAAATACGTAACGGCGGTACATGTATTCCGTTACTCCCCAACACTGTTAATATACGTTAAAGGTTTTTTTTCCTGTCTGAAAGAGAAAATTTTCCTTGTCTTCATTCTGGCCGCTGGAAGTCCCAACAAACTTCCAGCAGAAGTGAAGATCATCTGACGGTAATGAGACGGTTTGAGCGTTTGACTCACTGCTTGAGTCAAACGTGGATTTTTAAACACAGTTCTGTGTTTTACCAGCATCTGGATCATTCTCTTTAACTAAGTGTGAAGTAATCACAAAAAGCTTGTTTTGAAAAACTGGTCACCTCCTAAGATCCAAGCTCCTGTTTAGTTTTAATAGATCCTCTTTATTTGAGAGAGTGACTGGAGAAGTGTAGAGGAGGCCAGGAGTTGCACTGTGTCTTTGTGGCCCCCGGGCATTATGTTTGACACCCCTACTTTAAATCATTCACTGGAACCATATCATAAAAACAAGCTGTGGAGGGAGCCCACACATGTGGGGGTCTCTGGGGCTCTAACTTCATGATTTGAGCATACCCTCCAACAAAAGTCTTGTTAGGATATGACTGGAAGTTCTTAAGGAGAAGAAGAAAAAACTAAATGTAAAACAGCTCAGTAAGACATTAAAGGAAAGGCAGAGATTTAAATAAATATAGAACTAAAGAGAGCAAAAATTTCAAGCCCCGACTGAAATGTGTTAGAGTTTCATAAATGTGGAGCTCACAGGACGAATGCTGCTTCTCAGTGGGAGGTTTGGCTGGTTCATAACATATCAGCAGATCAAAAATGTAATTCTGTGCCGAGCCCGTTCGGTGATCTATGAATGAAACGCGTTTTGAAATCAATTCTCGGCCACACGTGGAGCGCAGATCGGCGAGCTGGTGCGACGTGTTCCACTTCATTATGAGACGAGTACAGCAGCAGAAACCCGGCAGCATAGATGTTATTAAGTTTTTTTTTTTCCTCAGCCAAAGGTTGAACGTGATCCAGATAACATAGTGCAGCACATACACTTACACTGATGTACTGCTGTACAGAATTTGGCCCAGTATTATACCTTTTATGGTTTAAGATGAATCATTTACAGGCAAAATATCTCGTCAGTGGGGAGGCACAGGACTGGGTGTTTTTATTTTTTTTTGCTTTGAAAAGCACTTGCAAAGAAATGAACAGTCTCTAATGTTTGAAGTAGTTTCATTTTAACAGAACATCAACCAAATATGCAGAAAGAACATGTATGTGTAATACAAATGATACAGTCAGATATTTCTAGTTGCTTAGTAGCAGCAAAATGAGGTCTTGCATTAGTGCAGTGGTTCATTATTGTGGCTTTAGGTGTGTTGTTCTTACTGTTGTTGTGGTGGTTATTTTAGATTTTGATATGTGTGAATGTGTGAAATAGTTTCCACTGTTTGAGGACCAGCATGACAGACTCCTGTAGTGATTAATTACATCCGGCTAGCATTCATCTCCAGGCTGTTTCGTTGTGAGTGATGAATGCAGCCACGTCTCTAAAACGTTGTAGTGGGAAATTTGATTTATGGCAGAGACATTTGAAGAAAGAGACCTGGCACTTGAAGAGTCTTAAACTATTAAACAACAACAAAGATGATGATCGAAGTTCAACTTTCAGAGTGAAAAAAGATTTTAGGTCTCATAAACGTTCCTGCACAATTTATATGGTTGTAACTGTGACATGGTTTAAGTGGATTACTTTATGACCTTTTGTTTTGTGTATATAGTGCATGAGTACACATTAGCGAGTGTTTTTAAATTAAAAATGGTTTTAATGAAACAGCAAAGTCAGATGAACCAAAGGTGTTTCCCTCCACCACACGCAGCTTGTCCAGATGTCCCTCTTTATGTGGGACCATTTTAAGTCCTCTCTCCCTTCTTCCCACACGTTGAGACAATGTCCCGCACTGTGATTATGAAAGTCTGACTTTCACCCAATGCATGGAGGCCTGGCGAATGCTGGGCCCATTAGAGAAAGAAGCTTTGCAGACTTTGGTGGATTTGGTGGAAACTACCACAAAAACAATGAACTGTCAGATTATGGTGGGAAATGCAGTCTTTGTCTTTCTTTGGTTAAAATTGTTCTTCAGTTTCACACGAGGTAAAACATGGCATGAAGTGACACAGTGTACATGTCACAATTGATGAAATTGTCACACATGGCTAAACGAGAAATGTGTGAAGATCTATGGATGCATCCCTACTGAAATACAACCACACTTAGAAGCAGCTGAAATAAACAAGAATACAAGAATAAATAAAGACTATTGCATGGAAAAAGATGTTTTTTTCGTTTGTATACACTTAGAAAGGCAGTTGGAAAAAGCTACTTTCACATTAATCTGGCTCTAAATGTAAATGTGGCAACATTCACTGTTTGTTGTAATTTTATTTTTAACCTGGATATTTTTACCTCCACCCTCAACTGCTTTTTTGTTACCTGCCTATAATATTTGCCTATATTATCGGAAGCACAAAGCCTTTTTTTTTAACAATAAATCTAAATGTTGTTGTCGATAACTGCATGATCACTCTAAGATTAAAGATAAAAGCTGTTAAATCTAGCTATCAGTGTTTCAGAAACTTCCTAAAATCTTCTAAATATTCTGTCTGCAAGTTGGCATAGAGACTCTGCTTGGCAGTCTCACTGTTTTGTGAACCAGAGATGATTAAATGGAATTAGATGTAAATGTTCCTAATCAATGATTAATGGTTGCCTGCTCCCTGCTTGACGCCTCAGGCGTGGTTCTCCCGACTCTATAAGGCTCCAATGGGAGGTTCATGCAGGGAGGAAGATTTTCATTTTTCAAATCCATAGATAATTTATTCAAGCCATACATTTGATTATAAAGTGTTGACAAAGACTTCTTATAGTTGCTCTTTAAATACAGAGAAAATGAGTTTTATAAAAGGATCTGCTCAGGTTATACTTCTAGGTTTCTGTACAGTGTTTGAACTGAAAATGTGCTTGCAGCCTCATAGGAATAGATGTAATATTCAGAAAAATCAACGTTACTCTCTTGCTGCCTGGCTTGAGTGTAATAGGAACAGGTGAAACAGGTAAACAAAATCATGAGAATCAGAAAATAGTCAGTCTCCCACGAGTGCATCCGTTGCGCTCAACCATGGTCGACAGGACACTGACTTGTCACCATGGCTACACATTTTTTTTCACTGCCACATATTGTCATTTTCAGAGAGCGCCAGTAATGTGGGCTTATCACATCCCGGGGGCAAACACACCTGGACAAACTCCACTTTGACACCACACGGAAAACACACAAAAGCCAAAAATATAATGCCAGGGATTTATATCTCGGCTGATACCCTGATCTCAGCTCCTTCTTCTGTTCCATGATTAAATCAGGATTCCACACCGATACGCTCGTGCTCATCCGTCTCTGTCAGCAGGCGTTGACTTATTGGGATTCATCAGGTGTTCAGAACACAAACTGACACAAATGAGTGGAGCTCGTTAAGAAATCCCCTCTGTGTATCTCAAGCTGCTTTATCGGTGAGGAAGGTTGCACCAGTATGCGCTCTGCTTAGGCTCGCTGCATGCAGTTCAGCTGTAATGAAGCTGATTAGTGAGTTTCATCTTTTTGCCTTTTGTTATTTTTTAGGGCACCAATTGATATTTATGTGTTGTAACCTTATTTTAATGAAAACCAAAGAGAACTTTTATCTGATTCTACATTTGCCCCTCAGTGTTAATGGTTTCTGTTAATAATGTCTTTTTTTGGAGCAGCTTCACTGTTGTTGTCCTTATCAGCATCTTCAACAGCTGAACAGGCTCTGATAAAC